TTTATTTAACAGACTATCCTCGTTTTATTTATAAAATATAAAGGAGTTGTTAGGGCTGGGTATATTGGTGTACACTGTAATCCCAGCACTCTGGAGGCTGAGACAGGGGGCTTACTGCAAGTTTGAGGCCAGCCTGGGCTACAGAGTGAGTTCAAGACCAGCCTGAACTATATCGCGAGACCCTGTCTTTGAATGAATGAATGAATGAATGAGTGATTGATTGGTTGTTATGGCTAGTTTTATGTGATAAAGATTGATGTTTCTTTCCAGAGTTTGATGTAGTTACATTTTAGACAAAAATGTCCCGTTTCAGTTCTCTTGCTTTTGCATTAGAAATGTTTTCTGTCAGAAACAGAAATGCCAACTGAAATACATTCTTCCTAAAAGAAAGAATTTCTTTTTTAAAAAAAGTTTTAATTTATATGTTTTTGTTAAAATATAAACTAGCATTACATTTTCAGTCTAAATTAGACTAAATAGAAATGTTATGCAACCCAATTAACGGATTTATAGTTTGACAGTGTTAAAAAAAAAAGTATTTCTGAATTTCTAGAGTGGTAGTCTTCATTAGGTTTTGGAGGCTAAACCCAGTGTATTTGCACTGAGCCACATCTCTAGCTCTTTATTTATTGAGATGGGGTCTCATGAAGTCACTAAATTGCCAAGGGTGGGGTCAAACTTTTGATACTTCTGCCTCAGCCTCCCAGGAGTGCTGGGATTACAGGAGTGTGCTACCATGCCTGGTTTAATTTTTGTGTATTTTTTTCCATTTATTAATAAATATATACTAGGGCCATTTAAAGAGATATTGAATAACATAAAAAAGAAATGATGTATTGTTTTATTTAGTTTTATCATAAAACTACTATTTCAGTGCTACTACATTTTTTTCTAGCTCTGTACTTTACATCAACCAGCTAACAGTGTAAAAATAAACTTGTTTAAATAAAAAATGTCATTTAGAAGGATAAAAGGCTATTCCTTTGCTTGGGATTGTCTAATGTGATCTCATTGTGAGAAGGTTTCTTCTCTAACTTTTTTTCTGTCCATTTGCCATTTCAGGTGCAAGTGAAAGCGTGGGAAAGCACATGCTTGAAGCCTGCAACAACAACCTGGAGATGGCAGTCACCATGTTCCTGGATGGGGGAGGAATCGCTGAAGAGCCCAGTACCAGTTCTGCGAGTGTCTCCACAGTTAGACCACACACGGAGTATGGATTGATTGTGTACTATTAGCAGCTACCCCTGCCTAATCAGCTAGTTGTGTTTTTTTGTCAAAGTTAGGTTGCTTGTATTTAGTTCAAAAAAATTAAAGGTTGAAAGCTCCTAAAAAAATACTGGGTAGAAATTTTTGTACTTACAAACCTTGAATTTTAGGCTGGGCATGCTAGTGCACGCCTGTAATCCCAGTATTCAGGAGGCTGAGGCAAGAGAATCGCCATGAATTCAAGGTCAGCCTGGGCTACATGGTGAGACCCTGCCTCAAAAAAACAAAACACAACAGAAAAACCTTGAATTCTCTAGAGCACTGTTATGTCTGTTATTTAACTCTGCTGTTCAGTCCTCAGAAGACCTTGTGGGCCTCATGTGAGTCTGTGAGGCTGGCTGGTAGCGGATGACCCACAGGCAGGGCTTGTGAGTCCTGTAGCATCCAAAACCAAAACAGACAGGTAGAACCCGCAGACAACCTTAAGGATGCCATTGTTACCCACATCTTACTCAGCCAGCAGAACATTAAGCACTGGATATGGAAGGCCAGTAAAGCATGTGTATCCCGATTCTAGATAGTCCTGCTTTTTCTTAGAAAAGTGAATAGCCATACAAAATTTTTGAACAATAATTCTAGACTGGGTTAGTAGCTCAGGGGTAATGCTTTGCTTGGGAACCTGTATTTAAACTCACAGTTTAGTGTCAAAAATTTGAACTTTTTTTTTTTTTTTTTGGTCTTTTTGAGACAGGATCTCACTATGCAGTTCAGCCTGGCCTTGAGCTCACTTTGTAGCCCAGGCTGGTCTCGAACTTGCAGTGATCCTCTTGCCTCAGCCTCCTGAGTGCTAGGATTACAGGCATGTGCCACCCTACGTGGCTTGGGTTTAAACTTCAAAACTTCAAAAATTAAATTTTTAAAAAAGAAAAAGAATCCTGGTCCTTTTTTACCTCAAGTAGTTAGAACTATCACTACCTTATGGAATTGTTGGTGTTTTGTCCTTTTTATTAATAAATGTATACTTGGGCCATTTGAAGAAATGGCAAATAATTATTTATTTAGTTTTGTTTTTATTATGAAAGAAGACTACTATGTTAATACCAATGAGGTATAAAATAAGTATCTGTTGGGCAAAATTTCAAGACCTTAGAAGATACTGGACATCAACCTTGCTTAAAAGAAAGCCATTGATGTTTGAAACCAAGTATTTAAAGTATCCTCAAGTGAGATTTTTAATATGCTTAGCTTTTTGTAACTCACATTGTTTATAATGTGAGATACTAATAGGAAGAAGTGTTAGGGAAACTGACTATACATGCACAGAATTTTGAATCTAGACCCATGTCTCGTACTAAAATAAAATCAAAATGGATGAAACACTTTAATATTAAAACAGTTAATAGAAGATAAATTAGGTAGAACTCTTAAAGACAGAGGTGTAGACAAGGATTTTGTGAACAGAACCCCAGTTGCATAAGAATTAACAGGTGAGATCTTACCAAGTTTAAAAGCTTCTGTATAGCACAAGGAACAACCAATAGAGTGAAGAGACAAGCTATAGAATGGCAAAAAAGATTTTTGCCAGCTATACAGAGGACAAATATCTAGACTATATAAAGAACTGAAAAGTACTAGGCCCCCTTTTTTGGGGGCCCTTTAGAATGAAAGACCCAGTTTAAAAAAAGGGCAACTGAAATGAACAGACATGAAATAATACATTTTTGAAATGTAAAAATAAATACATGAAATGTAAAAATAAATACATGAAATAATACATTTCAATAAATACATGAAAAATACATTTCATAAATACATGAAAAAAATATTTAATGTTTCTGGCTATTAAAAAATGCAAATTAAAACAACACTGAGATTTGTTTCATCTTAGCCCAGAAAGAATGGTCATCATCAAGAAATCAAACACTAACAAATGTTGGGGAGGCTATGGGGAAAAGGAGCCCTTCTACTAGGGTATGTAACCTAGTACCACTCACTGTGGTTGTATGGAGATTCCTCAAAAAACAAAAAATAGAAATTCCATTTGACCCAGCTATTCCCCATCTAGATATCTTCCCAAGAGTTAAAGATAGCATGAGCAGTTGTGTTTATAGCAGCATAACTTGTAGCTATGTCTTAGAAGTAGCCTATATGTCTGTCAACAGATGAACGGATAAAATAAATGTGGTATAGTGTATATAGACAGTGGAATACTACTTTGCCATAAAAAGGATAAATTTGAGTCATTTATAGGAATGGATATACCCTGAGACCATATTGTTAAGTGAAATAAATCAGGCACACAAGCTTAAATATTGTGTGGTTTCTCTTTCCTTTTTTTTTTTTTTTGGTACCAGGAATCGAACTCACGACCTCGTGCTTGCCAGGCAGGTGCTGTGCCACTGAGCTATATCCCTGGCTTGTGTGGTTTCTCTTAGATGAGAAACTTAAAGTAGAAATAAAGAGCAAAATAAAAGACGATAGGAAATAGGATAGATTTTTTTTTTTGGTCTTTTTGAGACAGGGTTGAGCTATGCAATTCTGGCTGGCCTTGAGCTCACTTTGTAGGCCAGGCTGGTCTCGAACTCACATGATGCTCCTGCCTCAGCCTCCCTAGTGCTGGGATCACAGGTGTGTACCACCACACCTGGCAATTTTTTGCAAATGGGAGGGAAACCAAGAGATGGAAGGAGGAGAAGGGTAAGTAAAAAGAATTTAGATATGTATATATACTAATTTCTCATGATGAATGTAATCATTATATACTGCAAACATGGACTTGTAAAAATAAAATTATTTTTAAGAACAGGAATAGACAAAAGACCAGGATTTTATTTTTACTAAACTAGGTGAATTTAAAAGTCAGAGTACATGAGCTGGTTGTGGTGGCACATACCTGTAGTCCAAGCACTCAGGAGGCTGAGGCAGCATGCTCACTGAGAGTTTGGGGCCAGCCTGGGCTACAAAGTGAGTTCAAGGTCCCCTGCACACAGTGAAACTCTCAAAAAAAAAGAAAGTGTGCATGCAGGTGTAATGGCCTGTCTTGTTGATCTACTTCCAGGTCAACACAGTATTGTTTCCACATGAAGTGTGAACTTTAGAGATGGTTACTAATAACTTACAGCTTTGTCTTGTTAATGTTGACCACATATTTCAGTTGTGATATCCTGTGGGAGGGTCTTTCTCCAACATGGCTTGGGTTTTTAATGGAAAGCAGTATAAAAGCGTGGTTCCTTTTACAGAAACAGGGACAGTAGATACTTACAGTTGATTTGGGGAACACATGCTTTCTCCTCATTGTACAGAACAGTTTTGGAGGGTTGGGAGAAGCCCTGCAGATGGGGGAACCTAGGACCTCACCTACAAGGCAAGCATTCTTGCACCAAGCTATTTCCCTAGCCCGTGTGTTTTCGATTTTTTTTTTTTTTTCCCTTAGTGGTACAGGGGTTTGAACCTGGACCCTTGTGCAATTCTGTTCCATGGAACTATGTATCTATTCCCTTTTTCATTTTTGAAATTTTGGATCAGGGTCTGTTTAAGTTATCTGGACTGGCCTCAAATTTGTGATCTTCCTGCCTCAGCTTTTCGAGTAGATAGAATTACAGGTGTGCCCTACTGTACCTGACTAGCCTATTTCCTTTTAGTGAAAGCATTAACAGAGCTTTTTAGCCATGTCTGTTCCTTCAGATTATGGAGCTGTGGATGTGAGTCAAGACTGATGTCTGGGAAGGCACATCCTTAAACATAATTTCAGTTGTTCTCTATCCTCCGGTCAATTGGCTTATGTAGATGTCTCTGTCTACCTGTGGTTCTTTGATGGAGTTGAGGGTTGGGGATGTATTTCAGTGGTATAGCAGAACATGTGTGAGGCCCTGGGTTGTCCTCATTGCCACAAACAAACAAAAACAGCACTCTAATACTGGATGCTAGTGACTTGACAAATGAGTATTGACAGTTTGTTTCATAAAGTAGTACCTTTTGGAGTTCCAACTCTTAGGCATCAGAAAGAGAACCTTAATGTCATTCATTACTATGGTATTAGAAACACCTGAATGAAAGTTAAAGCGGACCTATCTGAAATTCATACATATTTGTATGTAATTTATTTATTTATTTTTTTTTTGGTTTTTTTTTTGGTTTTTCTCCGGTACCAGGAACCGAACTCACGACCTTGCGCTTGCCAGGCAGGCGCTTTTGCCGCTGAGCTAAATCCCCAGCCCCTGTATGTAATTTATATGCTTGTATTTGCACATTACTATTATTTTCCATGAACATTATTCAACAGAGTTTTCTCTTTGGTTGTAAGATAAATAGTTTTAAAGGCACAGAGCATTTTTCAAAGATGCCTTTTGGTGGGAGCATGCTATGGAATGAACCCAGGGCCTCACACAGGCTGGGCAGGTGAGCACACTGTCACTGAGCACTCTTACAAAATATCAAAAGGGGTGTTTTTTAACTGGACAAGATGGACTATTTAGTATATCTTGTGGAGGTAAACTGTGAAGGAAATAGGCTTTTAGAAGATGTATTACTACTTTTTCTGTTCAGTATGTTAGGCTCTATGTGGTAAATAATCAAAAATTACACCTATGTTAGCCCCTTTATAATTAGCATAAAATTTACTATTTAATATATCTGAGATTGCATTATCTCTTCTTTTTCTGTTCTTTTTTCTTTATTAACCATGTGAGCTATTTATGGCAGGTATTTTTTCTTGTTAATCTTTCTTAGAAACTAATACTGTACTCACTTATCATGACTACTGTGGTTCCTAAAAGGTCACTAAGTGTGGTGTTCATTTTACTTGTTAATTTGAGTATATTCACAATAAGTACAGAAAGAAAAAAGAAAATAATTTTCTTTTTGTACTTCCCTTTTTTTTTTTTTTAATAGAGAAGAAGTTCGTGCCCCAATTCCTCAGAAGCAAGAAATATTGGTGGAACCAGAGCCTTTGTTTGGTGGTAAGTTCACCATTTTCCATGTTGGACTTTATCTTCAGGATTTTAATGAGCCCCCCACACCTGGCTCTTAAAATTTTATTTTGAGACAGAGTTTCACTAAGTTACTCAGCCTCAAATTTGGGATCCTCTTTCCTCGACCTCTCTGAATAGCTGAATTGTAGGTGTGTGCTTCTATACTTAATTACACCTGTGTCTTTTTGATTTGGAAAAGCACCTTAGTTGAAAGTTTTTAGAAGATAGACCTTTCACTTGGCAGCTTGGAGTTTGCTGTGGCGAGAAATAAGAGAATAAGGCCAGGTGGGGTGATGCATGCCTGTAATCTCAGCACTCAGGAGGTTGAGGCAGGAGGATCACCTCGAGTTTGAGGCCAGCCTGGGCTACACAAAGAACTTGAAGCCAGCCTGAACTACATAGTGAGACCTTGTTTCAAAACGAAAAAATAACACAAAATAAAAATGGTTTCTAGAGGGGACTGGATTCAGGACCACATTCCCCATACCACCTCCTCTTGTGTATTCCAAATCCCTTACGATCCAGATTCGGTGGCACACACCTATAATCCTAACACTCAGAAGGCTGAGGCAAGAGAGTCTTGACTTCAAGACTAACCTGAACTACATTGTCAGACACTTTCAAAAAAACCAGAACAAAAAGTTGGCTTATTGTTTGCATATAGTTTTTGTACCTTCCACTGTATATTTCATATCATCTGCAGGTTACATGTAGTACTCAGTGCAGTGTAAATGCTTTGTAAAGCATTATATTATTCAGGGAATGGCAAGACTAAGGGTTGCTTTAATAATTATCTACCTGTGGTTGATCCATAGACAGGGAGCCTACAGATATGAGGGGTGGGGGTGCCTGTCCTGTCTAGATCCAGCAATGAGTAAAGCTAGTGGGATATGATAAGCTTGAATCTGTACTATGATAATGTTTTCTGGGCTCTTCAAGTTAGCCAGCCATTGTGCTGTTAATATACCAGATGTAATAAAATGTTCATATTTTTTCACATAAATGCTGTGAATAGATTGAAAAGTAGGGCTGGGGATATAGCTCAGTGGCATAAGCGCCTGCCTGGCAAGCGCAAGGTTGTGAGTTTGATCCCTGGTACCGCAAAAAAAAAAAAAAAAAAAAAAAAAAGTAATGCTCTTGGAAGCTTTATCTTTTCCTCATTGTGAGGGATAAGGCAGGATCACTGAGTGGGTATGACTATAGGAAATGAATTCTTTGCTATCTTCCTGTTGAACACAGGCAACCGAGTTCCATTTAAAATGAGACTTTTCTTATTTTTACCTCTAGGTTGACATATAGTGACAGGGGTAGATGAGGTTGTACGGTTAGGAAGGTAGTCTTTACCTTCATTAAAACCTTACTAGAATTTGAGAAGGGTCTTTGGAGAACTGTTTCTTCTTAGGACAATATTGATTGAAAGCACAGTTCTCTCCAAAGTGTGACTTGAGGGTTCCTGACACCCTTTCCGGGGTTCTTCAAGGTCAGTACTATTTTCTGGATAATACTGAGAAGTTACTTGCCTTTTTCAACGTAGTATGGGGGGGCGGAGTTCTGGGGATTGAACCTAGGGACTTTGCACTGAGCTGTGTCCCCAGCCCCTTGTTGAGACAAGGTCTTGATAATTTACTTATTTGCCAGACTGACCAAACTTACAATCCTCCTGCCGCACCCTCTCAGAATGCTGTGATCGTAGGTGTGTGCCGCTGCACCTGGCTACTAAGTTACATTTGAACTGGTGGTTTGGAAGTAGATTAGTGCCAGCATCGAAGGGGGGCCAAGGCAGTGGCACCCATCTGTACCACTAGTCACTGAGTTCTTCACTGCTCCATATACACAGTTTATTAAAGGAAATTAAAAAGGGAGTTTTCTTTAAAGTCTTTGTTTTGATTTATTTATTTGAGGGTTTTATTTTGTTTTTAGACAAAGTCTCTGTAGTTCATGCTGGCCTTGAACTCACTATGTGACCCAGGCTGGCCTCAAACTTGCAGTGGACTTTTTGCTTTAGCCTCCCAAGTGCCGGAATTATAGGCATGTGCTACCATCTCAGCTGCTAATGTTACTGATGAAGCAATAACAAGGATCAATTGTATTAACTCTTTATTTCCATATATATTCTTTTTGGGTTTTTTTTGTATTTTTTGAGACAGGGTCTCACTGTGCAGTTCAGGCTGGCCTGGAGCTCACTTTGTAGCCAAGGCTGATCTGGAACTTGTGATGGTCCTCCTGCCTCAGCCTCCTGAGTGCTGAGATTACAGGCATGCGCCACCACACCCAGCTCAGTATGTATTCTTGAAGTAGGATGTATGCATAAACCCCTTCTGAATACTGAAAATGAAGTGCTATGGTTACCTTAGGAAAAAGCCCTTGTGTGATTCTTTGAGTTGGGAGCTGAGCTGGTGGCTTTTATGAAGGAGTCGTTTTTTTATCTGAAAGATCACTGGCAGACTGGAGTTACTTAGATTTAGGGATTTGGCAGGTATTTTCTTAAAAATGTAGAGTGAACCTGTACAGTGCTTCTAAACAGCTGGAGGTATAGGATAGGAGTGGCGGCACACTGAAGCAGGAGGATCGCTGAGTTCCAGGCCAACCTGCACCACATGGCAAGACCCTGTCAAACAGCAAAGGAAAACAAAACAAAACAAAAAACAAAAAGCACTGGCAGCATTTGTTTTCAGTGATTTGAAACATTTTCAGGTAAAAATTAGAATTTTAGAAAAATTACATTCAGCTTGATACCTTGTGAGTCTGATACATTGCCAAAACTTAGAGAGGGTTTGGCTTTTATTATGCTGATATTGTAATGAAATCAGGATCCAGAATGTTTGTATAGTTTAGCGAACAAATATTACTAAATGGCTCATGCCTGATATCATGGAATCATGCATTGGTAAACAATCTGCTCAGACCATAAGGTAGATTGTATCGTATATTGCTGTACAACAAGCTGTCCTAAAATTAAGCTGCCTGCATTAAATATCTGTTACCTCACAATTTCTCAGGGTCAGGAATCTAGGTGTGGCTTAGTGGGGTTTTTTGGTTTGGGGTCTTTTTTGAGGATGCAGTTAAGTGGTCAGCCAGGACTTTAGTTATCTCAGTCTGAGAGGATGAGGATCCTTCAGAGCTACTGGATAGAGACAGCACTACCTTATCATACAGAGCAAAGGAGAGCAGGAGAGAGTAGCCCAAAATGGAGCCCACTATGTTTTGTTGTAACCTAATCTTGCTAAAGACTTTATGTCTTGTCACCTCTGCCACATTGTATTTAATCCAACCCACACTCAGGATATTTCCACAAAGTTTATGAATAGTAGAGATAGGATGGGGTTTGTTAGTTTGTTTTTTTAGACAAAGTCTTCCTGTGTAGTTTACTCATGATCCTTCTGCCTCAGCCTCCCAAGTGCTGAGATTACAGGTTTGCGCTACCACTCGCAGTCCCCTAGGGGCATGTTAATTAATTTTCTGCTGCTGTAACAGATCCCTGAGAGAATGTGCTTCAAAAGAGGAGGGCTTTTTCTTGGCTCACAGTGTTGGAGGTTTCTTTTAAGTCTGTGGGCATGTGGCCCTGTTGCTTTTGGTCCTTGTTGAAGCGGTATATCATGGTGAGAGTGTGTGGCATAGGAGGCCACTTAACTCACAGCATTCAGGCAGCAAAAGGAAGAAAAAACTAGAGTCCCACGTCCCCTCCCAGGGCTCACCCTCTTCAACTTAACTGCTGCCTGAGACCCCATTTCCCGGAAGCTCTGCCACCTCCAGGAGCACGATGGGCTGGGAGCCAAGCCTTCACACACAGGCCTCCAGGGGAAGTTTCTCCAGTTGAAAGCAAGGGGTGAGATTGCACGCTCCCTGGAACACTGGGCTGACAAGCTTATTGCTAAGGGTTCAGGTTCCACTTTGCAACCAATGTTTAAGAAACTACCACTGATTAAGTTTTGCTGTGGAATCAAATACCCACAATTATCTTTTTAAAAAGCCATGATGAATAACGAAGCAGCTGCCTGGATAATTATCTGGTCCTTGTTCATTAGTGGGAGACCCCAGTAATCTCCATAGCCTTATGGGAGGTACCCCAGTAAATTGGTCATCAGCAAAAGGTTACGTTTTCTTTCTTTCTTTCTTTTTTTTTTTTTTTTTTTTTTGTCTTTTTGAGACAGGGTCGTACTATGCAGTTCAGGCTGGCCTTGAGCTCACTTTGTAGCCCAGGCTATTCTTGAACTTGCAGCGATCCTCCTGCCTCAGCCTCTGAGTGCTGGGATTACAGGCGTGCGCCACCATGCCCAGCGAGTTTTCAAGAAATGATATAATAAAGTTTTCTCACCCAAAAAAGAAAAAAAACCAAACAAACTGTGAAACACTCCTATTTACAACTATTTTATCTGTGGGGTTGAATTTTAATTTTCTTCCTATATTTGAACTAAAAGAATAACCACGCATGGTGGCATACGCCTGTAATCCCAGCACTTGGGAGGTTGAGCCAGGAGGATCACTGTGAGTTCCAGGCCAGCCTGAGCTACATAAGCAAGTTCAAGGCCAGTCTGCACTACATAGCCAGACCCTGTCTCCAAAACAAAACAAAACATGGCAGATGTAAAAATAGTAAGATGATCTGAAAATTCAAATCTATTTCCTTTTTTCCTTCCCTCCTTCCTTTCTTCTTCCCTCCCTTTCTTGCTTCCTGTTTCTACTTTCTCATGCTTCCTTCTTTTTCCTCTCCCCTCTCTCCTGCCCTCCCCAATCTCTTCTTCTTTCTTCCTTTCCCTCCTTTCTTTTCTCCTCCACCTCTTTTATTTAGTTTTCCTTTTTGGTAACAAGAATTGAACTCAGGGCCTTGTGTTTGGTAGTTAGGTACTGCACTGCTGAGCTATATCTCTGGCCAATCCTTTCCTTTTCTATTTTTCTTTTCTCTATTTTTTTGGCATTGAACCCATGGCTTTGTACATGCTAGGTTAATACTCCCACCTGTGATCTCATGAGACTTTGGGAGGTGTCCATCTAGACACAAGCCATAACACTAATTTTAAGAAACCATTATTGAGCCAGGCATGGTGGTGCATGCCTGTGATCCCAGCACTCTGCTGGCCAAAGCAGATGGATCATACATACAAACCCAACCGAGACAGTTTAAAGACTTAAAGGGGTGGGGTGCTGGTAGTATAGCTCTGGGTTCAATTCCCAGTACTCCTGAAAAAAAATTGAGAGACTGTAGTATACCAGCTGGAAATAATAACAAATACAGTACTGCATAGTTCCAAGGTTGAAAAAATAACATTCCTCAATTTTTAATAAAAATTTAAATTTATTATTATTATATTACTGGTACTGGGGATTGAGTTCAGAGCTTTCACACTGATCTACATCCCCAGCCCTTTTTTTCTTTTTTGGTTTTTCTCCGGTACCGGGAACCAAACTCACGACCTTGCGCTTGCCAGGCAGGCGCTTTGCCGCTGAGCTAAATCCCCAGCCCCCCCCAGCCCTTTTTAATTTTTAATTTTGGGACAGAGTCGCTTTATAAGTTGCTAAGTTGGCCAGGCTCAGCTGGAACTTGCATTTTCCTGCTTCAGCCTCCCAGAGTGCTGGGTTTGCAGGCAAGTGCTACCCTGCCGAGCTTCCTCAATTACTTTTAATTAAGAAGAAAGGAAAAAAGAGGGAAGGAAGAAAAGAAAAAAAGGAAGTTCGTTTAAATTTTTTAAAAATCAATTTAAATATAAGAATTCATTATAAAACTAAAATGTAAGTTTTAATAAATATTTTCCAGATGTAATACTGTGATTCTTTAAATATTGATATGACACATGAATGATACACCATATAAGTATGTTTTCAACAAAGAAGTTTTTAACATGTGGTTTTGCATTTTTTGTTCTTTGTCTTAGTTTGTGCAGTGATGGACAGAGTGTCTTGTCCTGCTACTGGTCATCATTTCTTACTGTTCTGGTCGTGCACCAGCCAGGCTTGCTGTAAGCCGGCACATATTCAATGTGGTCATTTCTTTCTCAATTAGTAACAGTTTCATACAGGAAGATAAAATTTTGATTATGTTTGTACTGAGTAAGTGAGTTTCTGCTCACTAAGACATGGTCCTTAAATCTTAGGGTTTTGAACTTACTCAATTATACCAAAGAATGCTCAGATCCTTAGTCTGAATGATCCCAATATTTGAAACATGAGAGTTATTTTATTCCCCACAGGGAGTCATCCTAAGAATCTTTAATACCGCCACTCGGATTCCTATCTTTTTGTCTTGATCGAGTATCTTAACTGGGCTCTAATTTTCTCATTTGTGAAACAAGATGGTTGTACTAAAGTTGTTTGGTTTAATTATGTATGAATGCCTTCAAGGTTTTAAAATTTTTTTCTTAGTGCTGGCAGCAGTTTGAATCTGTGGGCACCCCTACCCGCCTGCTCCCACCTTCCAGCACTGGGGATCAAACCCAGCACCCAGGCTGGCTCAAACTTGCATTTCTCCTGCCTTGGCCTCCTGACTGCTGAGATTATAGGCATTCACCACCATGTTTGTCTTTGCATGAGTATTTTAAAGCAAGAAATACTTCATAGATAAGGCTATTTTTAGATTTGTTTCAAAATTAATGTTGAATTGTTAATCAATTCTTTTTTTTTTCCTAAAGCTCCCAAAAGACGACGGCCTGCACGTTCAATATTTGATGGTTTCCGAGATTTTCAGACTGAAACTAGTAGGTAGACCATTATGATCTTCCTTCCCCTCCTTCCCCCTAATAAAGAGGGTAAGATGATTGATAATAGGCTTTATACTTTGAGGAGTTACCTCATTTAAAAGGTAAAATTAGGAATTCAATCTGTATGTGATTACCTTCTCCAGAGCCGGGCTGTTCCAGATTCTAACCTATTTAGTTGTAGAGGAACAATAATGGAGCTGGAGATAATGTAAGGAATCTGGTAATTTACCACCGTGGGCTGACTCTAATCAAAGAAAGTTGGTTTCCCCAGGATCCTATCAACAGAAGGAATTACTATAATGAAAGTAGTTATAGACTGAAACTGAAGAAAAAGCCACACAACCCAAAGCAGCCACTATTGACCAAAATCCTAAAAGAGAAGATATTTCTAAATTACAAAAAAGTTCTTAGAAAACATAACAATAAATGCAAAATGTGGGGTACCTCAGTATTGAGGTGCCCCCACCCCAACACTAAATCTAACCCTACCATATGCCCCAATACCAATTGAGGTGCTGAGAAGCAGACTTGGAGGACCTGGACCCCAAGATCTGAGTACCCTGTACCCCAATATTGGGGTACCTACACCCCCACATTAAGTCTAACCCAGCCCCACTTGGGGTACCTGGACCCCAAAATTGGGGTACTCCAGACCCCATTATTGAGGTTCACTTTTTGTGGAATAAGTTAGGAGAACCTTGGTTTTATACTGTTAGAGAACTTAGTATTGAATTAACAGTGGGATCTTAAAGAGAGGACAGTTCATGTTGTTAGAGAGTATTTGATGCACTCGGACTGGGTTTGCTTGGTAGTTGATTTATAGTAAACTCATCAAGGCATGGATAGGTTTTGTAACTTCGAAGAGAGTTGAAGGGGAACTTACACTGACTGAGGTCACTAAGCAATCTATGCCCTTCTGGTGGAAGGTGACAGAAGTGGTCATTATCCCTACAACTACAGTCTTGTTTCTTTTGCTGTGTAGCCCAGGCTGACCTGAAGCTTGAGATCTTCCTGTGTCATCCTCCAGAGTGCTGGGATTACAGCATGGCTGTATGTTTATTTTTATTGGATTTATTCCAGGAAATTAAAGATTTTACAGGAAAAAGCCACAATGCTCAGCACTATTGCTGGAATCTTTAAAGACTGAGAACTTGGTTGTGTACAACAGACACTCGGATACTTTCAAAACTATATAAAGGAGCCTGGAAGCTTTCATGTGTGCTGAAATGGGGTTTTGAGTATGTAAAGGAAGTTATTTTGATTAGATGAGTCTTTTTTTTAGGAAATTGTACTGGGGATCAAACTGAGGGTCTTACTAATACTAAACAAGTACTTAGCCACTGACTGCACCCCCAGCCCTAATTGAGTTATTACTTTTCTGCTTTTGTCCTTTGTGTGGGGAATATTATCAGGGCTTCAGACTCCCTCCTCATCCCCCTCTTTTTTGAGTCAGCATTAGATCTTTGCATTTGAGATGAAGCACATTGTTTAGTAATTCTTTCAGTTGATACTGCAACTTTTTTTATTGCCCAATTCTTGGCTTCTTTATTTATGGCTAATTGAAGTTTTGTCATCCATTTTTATTGCAGTTCGGCAAGAGCAGGAACTAAGAAATGGCGGAGCAATAGATAAGAAACTAACTACCCTTGCAGACCTGTTCCGGCCACCCATTGACTTGATGCATAAAGGCAGCTTTGAAACAGTGAGTTGTTGGAGAGTTCTGTGCCTTATTTGTAAACCCTATAGCATTCCCAAAGAACAACAAAAAGATTTTTTTTTCATTATGTAGGGAATTGACAGTTTCTTATTTATTAGAAGTTTACTTTGGGGGGTTGTGCTTTCTTTTTTTTTTTTTTTTTTTTTTTTGAGACAGGGTCCCACTGTGTACCTCAGGCTGGCCTTGAAGTCACAGTGTAGCCCAGGCTGGCCTCAAACTCATGGTGATCCTCCTGCCTCAGCCTCCCAAGTACTAGGATTACAGGCATGTGCTACCATTCCCAGCTCTATAACTATATTTCTTTTTAAAATTTTATTTTTTTATTGGGAATTGAACTTAGGGCTTTGTGCTTGCTAGGCAGGCGCTTTGCCACCAAGTTGTATCCCTGGCCCTATAATTATATTCCTAACATTAATAGTTTGTCTCTCCTGTCATTGGTAGACAATGTGTGGAGACAGTGTCCAGATCTGTATTGATTTATCCCAGCAAGCCAGCAGTAGTAGCTTTATGGTGGAGTAGTGGATAATCTCAATGAGTGTGCACCTTTATTTCCACCACAATTCAGGCTGGATTCTTCCTGGAAGCCGCTAAATGGACCCAACAGTTCTGAGTTCTGAGTCCTGACTCAGAGAGAAGGCTCTGCCCGCTACCTCCTTTTTGGTTGAAGTTTCTCTCTGCACTCTCCCAGGCGCTTCAGTTTTGGCTTCAGATCCTTTCTGGGTCCAGGGGACCTGCTTCTCTCCCTCTTGTCTTCCTCATGTTACTGTATTCCAGTGTCTGGATGGCAGCTGTCAGGCTCTTTCTCTGTTGCTTACCACTTCCCCAACTTCCTGGAAGTCTCTTCGAACAGTAATGGATGGGATTGCTAGTAAATCCTTTGATTAGCCTGTGTGGTATCATTTTAGAATCCTTGCCATTTAATAGCTTGTTTTATTTTGGTTTTTGTCTTTTTGAGGCAGAGTCTTCCTATGCAGTTTAGGCTGGCATTGAGCTTACTTTGTAGCCCAGGGTGGCCTCGGACTTGCAACAATCCTTCTGCCTCAGCCTCCTGAGTGCTGGGATTACAGGTGTGTGCCACCACGCCCAGCTAGCTTTTTAAAAGTCTTACTTTTTAAAGTTTATGTATTATCTTAGTCATTTTCCTCATGGTTGGGACTCAGTACCAGACACAATCAACTTAAGGGAGGGTGGATTTATTTCCTTTCACATTTCAGCCTATGGTCCTCTGGCTGTAAGGCAGGTCAGCATGGCAGAGGGGCCTGGTGGACTAGAAGCTGCTCATGGCTTGGCATTGGGAAGCAGAGCAGGGAGGAGCCAGGATGGGGTCTGTACCCTTCCAGGTCATGACCACAGTGACCAGCTCCTCCAGCTAGAGCCCACCTCCTCACTGCAGGTCAGCAATAAGTCCCAGTAGTCCAGTCAGTGTCCTAAAGACAGGAAGCTCAGGGGGGTCACTCTGGGACTAAACCATAACCTGGATCTGTGACTGCTACTGAGAGTAGGTGCTTATTAACTGTTTATGAATTGTACATAGGTGTCTTTTACCTATACAGTCGTTCTGCCTTCCCTGTAGCTTCAGTTCCAATGGCTGCATGTACCTGAGAACTGAAATTGTTGGTTGGAGAATTCCAGAAGTAAACAGTTCATGCACACTGTTGAGTAGCTGTGCTGCCCAGGGCAGTGTCTTCACATGGTTACACCAGCTCCCCACCAGTCACACGGTGCTGTCTTGGTTATCAAATGGATTCTCGAAACATTCAGGTGCCAGTGTTGAAGCAACTGTTACTTTATTTAATAGTGGCCCAAAACTTAACAGTAGTGATGCAGGTGGTTCAGAGGCACCAACGAGAGACCATCCAGTGTTTCCTTTAAGTGAAAAGGTGAAAGTTTTCAACAAGGAAAGCAAAAAAGCTGCGTGCTGAGCTTGGTAAGATCTGTGGTCTGAGTGAACCATCTATCTGTCCATGAAGCTGTGAAGAGGGACGAAGAAATCCATGGCTGTGGGGTTGTGTATCTGTGACCCCTGTACTTTGGGAGGCTCAGGCAGAAGGATCACAAGTTTGAGTCCAGTCTGAACAACTTAGTGAGACCCTGTCTCAAAATCAAAATAAATAAATAAAAGGGGCTGGAGGTGTAGCTCAGTGCTACGTCCTGATTTCAATTCCTGGTACTGGAAAAAAAAGTTGTGCTTCAGGCTGTAAAGACTATTACTATAGTTTGTTAAACGCTTAGTTAAGGTAGAGAGGATATTTAAATTTGTGTAAGTTGGGGAAAAAATAGTATATGAAGGATTTGGTGGTATTTGCAATTTCAGGCATGCATTGAAAATCTTGAACATATTCTCTGTCAATAAGGGGAAACTATTTCTGTGGGGATCCTAGTGTGTTTGGGGCACAAAAAGAAGTCTCTGAAGTTGCAAAATGCATTCTCTCTTGGTTCTGGATTTTACTTGTTTGTTTTGTTTTGTTTCTCGTCTTTTTTTTTTTTTTTTTTTGCTTTTTTTCTCCGGTACCGGGAACCGAACTCACGATCTTGCGCTTGCCAGGCAGGCGCTTTTGCCGCCGAGCTAAATCCCCAGCCCCTGTTTCTCGTCTTTTTGATACAGGGTCTCACTATGCAGTTCAGGCTGGCCTTGAGCTGACTTTGTAGCCCAGGCTGGTCTTGAACTTGCAATGATCCTCCTGCCCTCAGCCTCCCGAGTGCTGGGATTACAGGCAGGCACCACCGTGCCTGGCTCTTACTTGTTTTTTTGAGACACAGTCTCACTATGTACTTAGTCTGTGGCTCAGGCTAGCCTTAACTCATAGTGATTCTCCTGCCTCAGCCTCCTGAGTGCTGGGAATACAGGTGTGTGCCCCCATGCCCGGCTCATCTTGGTTTTATCTTGACTGTGAAGAAAAACTTTCCAGAACGGGTTTATTTATTCATTGACTTGTAAGCTTAATGAGAGCAAGGAGAATGTTTCTTTTTATTTTGGTAATCCTCTGGCCATAGCTGCTGGCACTTAATAGGAGTAAAACATTAGTTAAATAAATGAACTTAGTATTTTAGATAGTGCTTGGAGGTATTCAAAGAAGCTGCTTTTATGCGTTGACTTGTGTATGTTGCTTTTGTGTTAGTGTGTTAATGCTCTTTTAAATCAGAATATTTCCACAGAAATATTACTTGTTATTTAAATCCACAGAACCTACTTAAATTTTAGATTTTATATATGAGTATAGAGTAGGTCAAAGAATAAAAATTATGTGTATCAGCTACTTATTTGAAAATGAATTCTGGTTGGGTGTGGTGGCGCATGCCTGTAATCCTAGCACTTTGGACACTGAGGCAGGAGGATCGTTGTGAGTTCGAGACCAACCTGGGCTACAAAGTGAGCTTAAGACCAGCCTGAACTGCATAGTGAGACCCTGTCTCAAGAAAAAAAAAAGAATTCTGATTTTTTTTTTTTTTGGTACTGGTACTCAAACTCAGGACCTTATGCTTGCCAGGCAGGCACTTGTGCCACTGGGCTATATCCCCAGCCCTTGTTTTTTTTTTTTAAATTGTCCTTTGACATACACTGGCACAAAATATTTAGATAAGAAATTAATCTATAAACTTGGTCTTTAACTTTAGTTTTCTGAATTATAAAACCTGTTAGTGTTTGGCTGTGCAACAGAAAATGCAAATGTTGATGATTTGACCAAACAAGAGCTTATTTTTGTTATATAATAAGCATAGAGTTGAGAGACTTCTTGGCCTTTATCAGCTAAAGGTGTCATGTTGGATGTCTCCATAGTTTTTCCATCTCTTTCCTGTGGTCTTCACAGGAGCTGCCTGTCCTGCCTAGCGTTCTGGTTTAACACAGCCAGAAGGATGTCAGTTTGTCTGGCATGTTTTCTATTTTTAACTTCTGAGTTACCCTAGAGTTCATGAATGCAGTTATTCTTGAGCTTGATTTAATTTGGTCACTCTGGATAATAAAAAGCACTTGCTCTTTGTTCATTGAGGGAAAATGTGTATTTCTTTTTGTATTATCCTCTGAATTTTAAATTATATCACTTTTTGCTTATATTTCATGATCTGTATTGCTTTCAGCAATCTGGTTTTTTCACTATTACTACTAGTAAATATACCTATCTACAAGTCTTTACATGATATAAACACTTCCAGAAAAAGTAGTCATTTCATTATAATTGATGGTATATCTGTTAATTTTTATAGAAGTTCTGGGTGTAATATGTAAAACTAAGGTATTGAAGTTTAGAGAGGTGGATGTTAAAACTGGAGAGGTACTCTACCTGCTCAGGAAAGACCTAGATGTTTGGTGCCCATGTTAGACGTGAATTTGAGCCTCAGCTTAATAGGTTTAGAAACCAGTGTAGCTAGAGATGGGTCATGTTCAGGGATTTTTGCTGGCTCATGCTAACCAAAGAAGAGACTTCTTCATTCAATGAATATCTGTTGAGGCCTTCTATTGCAAGATCTTGTTCTAAGTGTTGGTATTATGAGGACCAACCATGTGAGACACCAAGCTTAAATAAGATGGGAGTCTATTGCGATTACCTGTCCCATGTAGTTATTAGAGGTGAGGGTTTGTTTCTGTCTTATTCTGTCATGCTTCGGTTTTGCTTATCTTTGTCCACGATCTAAGATGACTTAGCAAGCCTGGAAGAGGAGGGGGAAGAGCAGGGTATACTTTGCACAGTTGCACCTAATACTAATTAGGAATTAATACTAATTAAGTTGTACCCAATATTTTGGCTTGCATCGCATTTGCGAGAATGTGGCAACGTGGCCACGCCTAGTTGCAGTGGATACTGAGATACCAGATGCTTAGATAAAGTTGTAGATTCTTTGAGTGAGAAAGGGAGAATGGGTGTTTGGTACCTGTAAGTAGTTCCTGCCACAGTGGTAATCAAATTCTACCAAGACCTTTCCACCACAGTTTACATTGGTAGTGAACATATGGCACACATGTTTTCTTTTAAGACAAAAGATGTTAATGTATGCGGTGTTTTTTTTAAAAAACTAAAACTTCAGTATTCAGATTTAATTGCAGTGTTGGCACTCTGTGATAAATAAGTGAGTTTTGGGTTGCAATTTGGGTGCTTGTCTTTAAAAGGTTCACTATCTTTGGTCTATAGAAACAGACTATAAATAAATGGAAAGCACAAAACAACAAAAAACAAACCATGTATCATTTGTATGATTTTGTTATGTACGTATATGTGATGAGCTGGTTCACATTACCGTAGTTGCTGGGGGAAAGAAAGTACAGTATGGGAAAGAGGCAAGGGCTGTTCTGTTTCTTACAGGCAAATTGAAAGTAAGGTTGAGCTGGGCATGGTGGTGCATGCCTGTAATCCCAGCGCTCGGGAGGCTGAGGCAGAAGGATTGTTGCAAGTTCGAGACCAGCCTGAACTGCATAGCAAGACCCTGTCTCAAAAAGACAAAAAAGAGAACAAAAAAACCAAGGTTGAGTTCACAGATTGCACTTATGTTTGTGATTGTTAAGGGAGGAGACTTTTTAGATGGAAAGAGCAAGAGAAGACTTCAAAAGAATGAGATCTGAGTAGAAACCCAGATGAAGTGAGGGGGAAAAACAGGGGAGATGCAGACAGAGCAGTGCTGTAAAGACAGTGATGCTGGAAGAGCTGGGAACGGTTTTACACTATTGAGGTGGGCAAAGCACTTAGGAAAAATGGTCTGACCTGGGTGAAAGAACGTTTCTCAGGGTTTCTTCCTTCCCAGCCAGCTTGTAAGTTCTGTGAATATAGGGACTTGGTTTTATTTACTGTTAAGAAAATAATGGTTCTATAAAAGTTTTTCACAAGTAAATTGGTCTTCATTAAATGTTTGTTAAATAGTTGGCATAATTTGGAAGATATTATATAAAAAATCAGAACAATTTCTATAACGTATCTTATTTCATCAGAAGAAATGCATATTTTTAAAGTTGATATTCAGCTACATGGGCCTCTAGCCCTAATTTACTAAAAGTACTTTGTGAAATTAAAGTACTTAGTATTTTAAAAAAATTAGCTAAATGAAGTAAAGCAAAAATAGTGAAAGTAGTAGCTGAAAATATGAAGAGCCTATTCAATAACTAAATAAATGTTTAAGTACTGGCGAGATTTTCTATATAGTTGTCCCTCTGGATATGCAGAGGATGGGTTCCCTGACCTGTCCCCATATGCCAAAATCCTTGGGTGCTCAGGTCCCTGATACAAAATGATGCAGCATTTCTATAAAACGTGGACATAACCTCCTGTATGCCTGAAATCATTTAGAGATGACTTTCAAAACCTGATACAACGTGGATGCTATGCGACATTATATTGCTTGGGGACTAATGATAGGAAAAAGTGTACTCACATGTTGGGTACAGAGGCCAGAGTCCTAGGCCTACCTGCGTAGTGTGTGGATGAGACAGGTGAGCAGTGCTCCTGCTACAGGCACTGCTGGGGAAGGGCAGGCGCCAGCCGCAGGGCGTGCTTCGCATGACTTCACAGTGGCTAGTCAGTGTGGGGGTCACTAGTGGCAAATTCAAGTTTTGCTTTGGAACATTGGAGAATATTTTTTTGTGAGTATTTTCTATTTGAAGTTGGTTGAATCTGAGGATGTGGAGGACTTTCTACATACCTTACATTTAATTTTATTTATAGTTTCTAAAACATTTTTACTCTAAATCTCATTTTATTTTTCGTGCTTTCCTGATCTACTTGGTTCTGGGAGAGAGATGTTTGTCTCCCTACTCTTTGCCCTTGGTCTTCCTGTGATGGCTTTGAATGATGCTTTAGAACAACCTAACACAGTGGTGGCAAACCTCTTGCACGCAGTGGGCTGTTCATCGTGGAAAGCTCTGAAAGGTTCACCATCACTGAACAGTTTCCAACAGGGAGAGCTACTCCTTTGTCCCATCACCCACTCTTCGGTTCATGTAGTTGGGAGCCTTCATGAGGTTGTGTAAGGTGCGCATTTGTTGATCTCTCTGTGTAGTTCAGGCTGGTCTTGAGCTCACTTTGTAGCCCAGGCTGGCCTTGAACTCACAACGATCCCCCTGCCTCAGCCTCCCGAGTGCTGGGATTACAGGTGTGTGCGCCATCGCGCCTGGCGCACCCTGATGTCTTGATATACATAGTGAGATGATTACTGCAGCCACGAAGATTAACCTGTCCCCTTACCCTTCTCACCCTGTGGTGAGAACATCTAAAGAATACACTCAGCAGTTTTCAGTATTTAGCTATACTCCTCAGGCTGTGCATTAGACCTAAACTTACTCAAGACTTTTTCCTTCCAAATGCTGTTACGTTGTCTGAAAATCATGTCCTCTTTGGGCCCTGCTAGTGGTGGTTTGTTACCACTATCTCCAGTGTGGAGAGCACCATCTCCGAATTTCTTTTGCTGGTGTAAAATTCCTAGTGTAAGCTTCATGGGGGCATGAATTTTTGTTTCTGTAAGTAAACATGCTAAGTACTTAGTAATTATTTATTGAATGAGTGAATCTGAATTAGTGAAAGCATAAATCTCAAATATTTAAAAACAGTGGCTTTTTTTTTGGTACCGGGAATCAAACTCAGAACCTCGCACTTGCCATGCAGGTGCTGTGCCACTGTGTCATATCCCTGGGCCTATATATCTAAAATGTACCAGTGAAGTGAATTTTAAAAACCTGTGGTTTTTGTCATTGTTCCCGTGCAGATTTCAGGTGACGTTTGCTCATTTGCTTTTCTGCCATTCCTTTCACATTCAGCAATGTTTCATGGGTCTTTGTGGTGAGGAGGAAGTGAGAGGCAAGAAGCACAACTCATAGCAGATATGTTACTGTGCATTAAAGAGCCAGGTGAGAGGGCTGGGGATACCACTCAAAGGCACAGTGCCTGCCTGGCAAGCGTGAAGTCCTGAGTTTGATTCCCATACTGCCCCCTGAAAAAGAGCCGTGTGAGATCATTCCCAAACATTCTTTGATCCTGTTGCCCCATTTTTTCAAATATCTTCCTAGGAAAATAACTAAGAGAAACAATGGTTGGCAGCTTTTATTAAAATATTTAAGGTGAGTACCCAGGCATCCTAGCACTTGGGAGGTTGAGGCAGAATCACCACGAGTTCCAGGCCAGCCTGGGCTCTGTAGTATGTTCAAGACCAGTCTGAACTATATATGAGACTCTGTCTCCAAAAAGGTGGGGGTGCTTGAAAATATTATAATTATATGTGCATATATAGAAAAATACAAATAATGATGTACGAACGCTGAAAACTATAGATGTCATACTTGAGAAAAAGCTCAGTATTTTCATGGAAAGGATAACCTATAAATCCTGAAACATACCAGCCACCAAGCAGAAATTCGGTGTTTTGGGGCAAGAGTACAAGAGTTTGAACACAGGGCCTCATGCATGCCAGCATGCTGGACAAGTGCTGTACTACTGAACTGGAGCCCTGGCTCTGGCCCTTTTTATTTTTTTATTTTTTATTTTTTATTTTTTTGGCTTTGGCCCTTTGAGACAGGTTCTCACTAAGGTGCTGAGGCTCCCTTCAAACTGGCAGTCCTCCTGCCTCAGCTTCCTGAGTAACTGAGAATATAGGCATAAACTTCTATGCTCAGCTTGTAGAAACTATTTTGAATAAATGTTGTATAACTTTATTCTTACAGGCCAAAGAATGTGGCCAGATGCAGAATAAGTGGCTGATGATAAATATTCAAAATGTGCAAGATTTTGCGTGCCAGTGCCTCAACCGTGACGTATGGAGCAATGAAGCTGTGAAAAACATTATTCGAGAACATTTCATTTTCTGGCAGGTAAGGAGGGATAATTGAACATTTTTTGTAATACTGTATTTTTGTAGTGTGGGATTTTGAGGGAGAGAAATTGGACTATAAACTAGGAAAAGTGACCTAAATTATGACATAAACTACCTACAATGGCTGAAATAGTAAAGGCAAGGGAGAGGGCAGCAATGAATAACTCCCAGAGGAAGGAGGGCAAAACAGAAGTCCGCTATAGAAACTGCGTGACGCTTGTGTCCCAGAGGTGCCTTGAGAGTTTGGTGGTATAACGGTGAACACTCTGGACTTGGAGTCCAGAAGTGTCTTCATGGAAGGAATGGAAACAGAAGTACAAGCTGGCTGAGTAATGTAAAATTTTCTAGTAGTCACATTTAAAAAGATCAAAAGAAGGGCTGGGGATTTAGCTCAGTGGCTCAGCAGCTGCCTGGCAAACATGAGGTCCTGTTTGATTCCCAGTACTACATAAATATATAAATGATGAAGTTAATTTTAATATGTTTTATTCAAATAAATATATGTTTTTGTTTAGATTACTATGTCTGGGGGCTGAGGATTTAGCTCAGGGGCACAGCGCCTGCCTGGCAAGTGTGAGGTCGTGAGTTTGATTCCCGGTACCAGAAAAAAAACAAACAAACAAATAAATTATTATGTCTGTTACATAATTAATATAAAAATGTTCAAGGCCTTGGGGTATAGTTCAGTGGCACAGGTGCCTGCCTGGTAAGCGCAGGGTCCTGTGTTCAATTCCCTGTACCAGAAAAAAAAAAACTCGTAAGATGCTTTGCTCTTGCTTTATTTTTGGTATTAAATCTTCAAACTGTAGTATACTTTTTACACTTTATACACTTCTTAATTTATTCAAGACCTTTTCAGGTGCTTCTGTAGCCACTGTGATTTGTGGCTACTATTTAGTTACAGTACAGGTAGAGAGGATCTTGACTAGGATTTGAATTTTAGCTTAAGTTTAGAACTCTGTGTCATTGGATGTACAACTTAGTCTTCTAGTTGCTATATATAATCATGCCAGTCTACTAGCCTCTGACCCAGAGATTAAAAATCTTAGGGCACTAGTGGTTCTAGTTGCATTAATTTTATAATTTTGTAGAAATTATTGCGCTAAGATTAAATGATCTTGCTCTCATTTTTTAATTTTAAAGAGTTATAGGAAGTAACTTCCGAAAGAGTCATTTAATTGTTTTCTATTATAAGGAATACTATTAATGTTATTAATTTGCCTGTTCATGTTTTACAGGCCTCTGAATGCAATATGATTGTTTCTAATGGCAAAATTCCTTTTATTTGAGTGAATATTATCTCTTTGGCTAACATTATGAGATGCCCTCAAGCTTATAATTTTAACATATTTGCAGAGATACATTTATGTTGGGGGTCCGGAATGACATAGGTAGACAGATACTTGAACAGACACAGCAGTGCCTCTTCTGAACTGGGAGGGGAGGAGGGCTAGGGTGATATGTTTATGGGAAGTGGCCAGGTGGACCTGCATATAGGAAGTTGAGGGACTCTACCCCATATTATCTTCATTTTTCTTTAACGGGAGTGAGACCCTAACATGTATGTAAAGTATGATCAACCAATACAATTAATATGTAAACTTCTAAGAAATTTATTGCAGTAAAGAACATGTTGCCATGAACTCCCCTGAAAATACTTCCCCTCACTTAGAGCACATTTATTCTGTCGTTCTGGAAGTCTTTTTTCCAAGTGTCTTTAGTTGTATGCTGTCCTGGCTGCCTCAGTGTCCTGAATCAATTGAGATCATTACTTTTCATGGTCATTTTGGCATTGGGGAAGAGGCAGAAGTTGCGCAGTATCACATGGGGTGAATAAGATGGAAGAGAACACAGCATCATATTTTTATTGATGCCTGCCTTTCCATTGGATGGCAGTCGTCAGCAGTATTCACTGTGTTTTTTATTGCAGTTCATAAAGTCACTCAGGAAAGAGGACTTCCAGAACTGTTTCAGAAAGTAGCAAGAGGGATATAGCTCAGTGGCACAAGCACCTGCCTGGCAAGTGCAAGGTCCTGAGTTCAATTCCTGGTACAAAAAAAAAATTTAAAAAAACAAAGTAGGAAGAGTGATAAGGCAGGTGTGTTTGAAGCAAGGGGTAGGATTTTCAAGGGAGATTAATGGTATTGAGTCTTTTGCTATACTATATTTTTAAAAAACTTTTAAAATTTAAATGTTCACCAAATATCTTGATTATGCTTTGTGCTAAAGGTGCATTTGGAGAATTAATTGCCATTGGTACATAACAAGGTTATATTTGGTCCCTTTTTTAGAGGCTGACTTTTTTATATGTCAATGATTTAACAGGTTTATCACGACAGTGAGGAAGGTCAGAGATACATACAATTTTATAAGTTAGGGGACTTCCCCTATGTCTCCATCTTGGACCCACGAACAGGTAAGATTTACATTAGTTCACAGCCTTGTAACCTGTCATATATTTTTCAGTTACCTAAATGATTGGTCTTTTAATATTTGGTTTCAGAATTGCAATAATTTAGGTGATGGTTTCTTGTTCATGCCCTTTATGAGTTATTTAAATAACCACTCATGGGCCAGGGATATAGCTTAGCAGCACAAGCGCCTGCCTGGCAAGCGCAAGGTCCTGAGTTCAATTCCCGGTACCAAAAAAGCAAACCAAAACAAATAAATAAATAAATAACCACTCATATATATATATATATATATATACTGAGGAAATCTTTTTGACAACAAAAAGATCAAACAATATAATTCATGTGTAAACGTAAGAAATTTATTGTAGTAAAGAACACATTGCCATGAAGCTCCCTCAAAACCCTTCCCCTCCCTTTGAGCACACTGTCCCATTGTTCTTGCCACTTTCTGAAGCAGTTCTGGGGATATGAGTTTTGAAACAGGGTCTTGCTGTGTTGCCTATGCAGCCTTAAACTTGTAATCCTCCTGCCTGAGCTCCCAAGTAGTTGAGAATTCAGGCATGCACCACTGTACTCTGCATGGTTTTTTATTATTTATTGATTGTATTTTATGTAGATACTGCTTTCTTTGAACGTCTTCTTCCAAAATGGCAATAAGTGGTACCAGCAGATAAGATACTTACCCTGTCGTGATGGGTGGGAATCTGTGAGGTCTGTTACACTTGGTATAGTCTCTAGACGTGATGTAAAACATAGCTGTGGGGATATGTGTTCATTTAAATTTTAAGTATGCATGTGCAGAAAGAATGACTTAATGACAATGTTCAGGAAAAGTACTGATTTTTATTATGTTTATGTATCCTGATTTTTAATCTTTAGGTCAGAAGTTAGTAGAGTGGCACCAATTAGATGTATCTTCTTTCTTGGACCAAGTGACAGGATTTCTGGGTGAACATGGGCAGCTAGATGGACTCTCTAGCAGTCCTCCCAAAAAATGTGCCCGATCAGTAAGTATGAGTAGACATGGTGATCGTAGTACATGAAATTGTATGTATACATCTTGTGTAAAACGTCTGATGTTAAGATGGTGATGTTTTGATAATTTCCTGCATAAGGATTCTGTCTTCTCATGGAAGTCGTCAGACTCATATTCCCAGTGTGTCTTGCAGTGAGGGCATAGGCGTGTGACCTAAGATCTTCATTAAGAGATGAGCCCTGAATAGGTGGATGGGGCAGAGAGGAGCCACTTGCCCAGGGCATCCCTGGGAGGGCTTCTTTTATACAGATGGAAGCTGTAGCAGTAGTGTTTCACTGGAACAACTTTCTGGGATAATTTGCCGTGATTACTGGCTGTACAGCTTCAGGGCCTGATTCTCTGGCTCTTTCGGAGATTACTTCTGTACTTAATTTCTGTAATATGCTATTACTAGGCAGACTTCTTTTAGAATTGGCATCATGATTAGCTGTAAGTAAGGGACCTTCAGAGACATAGCAGTTTCACATTGGTGGTAATTGCTTTTTGGGTTTGCTGGCAGTGAAGGTAAAATAGTTTTAGAGCACGCGCCTTTGGTAGTCCAGTGATAATAGCTCCTTAGCTTTTATGGAGGACAAAGCACCTGTTTAAGGAGAAACCTTGAGTGGTAGTGCTCTTTTTTTATTTTATTTTATTTTATTTTAAAGAGTAAAAGAAGGATAACATAATAATAGGGGGGCTTACCGAATTACAGACAAAGTGGTAGGAAATTATCAATGGGTATTGTTTTACATATTGTTATCTACAAGATAGTTTCTCAGGAAAACAAATAGACAAATAATAGTGAGTTACAGACAAAAGAGGTAGGAGATTATCAATAGTTGTTGAACTATACTTTGGTATCTTCAAAGTGGCTTCTAAAGAAAATAAATAGAACTGTACATGAGTGACCTACTGAATAATCATTGACTATTCTCAATGGTTGTTGTAGGAAACACATAATAATAGACATGCATCCATTTATGAAATAGGATAGGAACAATACAAACATTACAGAGTTATGGATAGATTAGTAGGAAAATATCAATGGCTGCTGTAATACATGGTGGTATCTTCAAAGTGGTTTCTCAGGAAGACAAGAGATATGCAAGAAGGATCTAACCAGTAGTTACAGCCTAACGGTTGTCGAAAATAGCATATTACCTCCTCACCAGTGACTCTTGTCACTGAGGTGTGATGGCTGGAAGGAAGGCCAGGATTGAAAAGAAGGACCGAGAGATTTGCACTTGTGTCTAGCAACAGGCTGCTTTCTTGTTCCTCCATAGTCACAATTACCCAGGGCTCCTCCATGGAGATGACGGTCTGGCCAGAGGGAGAAGGCAGAGTATACCCCGGGCCCTCTCATTCCTGTTGGACTAACTGGTAGAATGGGTCTGAGCTCTGGGGCCTCCACTTCAGAGGGCAGACCAATCTCCAGTGGTCACCTTTGCATTCAGGGCATGGGATAGTGCTCTTTTTGAAGGTATTAAAATAAACAACAAAAACACAACACCCCAGAGTGTTTCTTTTGTTCCCAAGTACCTGGGATTAAAGCTTTTCACCTGGCCCTGTTTTTTTAATTGAATTATCTCCTTGTTATTGAATTGTAAGAGTTCTTTATAGCCTAAATATAAGCCCTTTGGATATGTGGTTTGCTGATATTTTTCTATCGGTCTGTTGCTTGATTATTCATTATTATGATAGTTGCTTGATTATTCATTATTATGATAGTATTTCAAGAGCAAAATGTAAATTTGATGAAATCCAGTTGGTCAACTTTTGTGCTTTTATGTGCTAAGAAATTTTGCCCTCGCCCAAGATTTTATCTTTTTCTTTAAAAAATAGTTTTCACTCTGCTCCTTTTTGAATTAATTTTTGTATGTGATATTAAGATATGATCGAGTTTTTTGCTTGTATTGTTTTGCAGTACTAGGGATTGAACCCAGAGCCTTCTTATTTTTTGAAACAGGGTCTTGCTGAGTTGCCCAGGCTGAGGTCAAACATTGTGCTCCTCCTGCCTCAGCCTTTCAGGTGCTCAAAATACAAGTATGTACCACTGTGCCCAGCCCACTTGAGTTTTTATGTTTGTTCTTTGTATGTGACTATTCACTTATTTTTATTTCTTACTTTTTTTTTTTTAAAGTACTAGGAATCAAACTTAGGATCTTGCCAGGCAGGTGCTGTGCCACTGAGCCAGTTCCCCAAGCCCCCCGTTTTTTGAGATAGGGTCTTACTATATAGTTTAGGCTGGCCTTGAACTCACAGCAGTCCTCCTCATCCTCCCTGGTACTGAGACTACAGCCATTCCCTACCACTCCTGGCTTTATTCACTTGTTTCAATTTCATTCATTGATTCATTGATTCATTGATTCATTCACAAGGTCTCACCATGCAGCCCAAATTGGCCTTGAACTGACTATGTAGCCCAGGCTAGCCTTGAACTCACAGGGATCCTCCTACCTCAGCCTCCTGAGTGCTGGGATTATAGCTCTGCACTGCCACCCTGCAGTATCATCTTTTTAATAAAATTTCCTTTCCCCTATTGAATTGGTCTTTGCACATTTGTTTAAAAAAAAACAAAACCTGATCATCCTGATTTTGTATATGGGTCTCTATGAACTCAATGAATTCAGTTATTAACTTGTCCTTTATACAAATATTTTACTGGTTTGATTATCTATCTTATATATAATTATGTAGTAAGTCTTGAAATTACATGGTATGATAACTTTCATCTTCTTTAAAATTGTTGTAGGGCTAGGTGTGATGGGACACATCTATAATCCCAGCACTTTGGGAGGCTGAGGCAAGAGAATCACAGATTTGAGCCTAGCCTGGTAAACTAGTGAGAACCTGCCTCAAAATAAAAAATGAAAAGGGCTGAGGATATAATTCACTGTGAAGGCTCTAAGTTCAATCCCCAGAGTCCCTAGTACCAGGAAAAAAAATTGTTTTAGTTACTGTATTTCAGGTCTCTCACATCTTCATAAAAGTTTTAGAACCAGCTTGTCACTTTATACCAAAAAAAAAAAGCAGCTATGGGGATATTGATTGATTGGAATTGCTTTGGCTCTGTGGAGGATTTTGAGACTCAACATCCTAACAATTGAATCTTTGGGTGTGTAGACAGGAATATATCTCCCCACTTCTTTGTCTTTCAGTAGTGTTTTCTAGTTCTCGCACATTGACCTTTTCCCTGCAACCTCACTAAATTAATGTTCTGGTTATAGTAGCGCTTTTGTAGATTCTTAGAATTTTCTGTGTGAATCGTTTCGTTGTCAGCAAAGAACCGTTTTGATGTTCTGATCCCTATTCCTATTTATTCTCTCTCAGGCCTTGTCGAACTGGGTACCACCTCCAGTACCGTATGAAATAGAAGTAGTGAGATTTGATATCTTTACTTGTCATTGATGTTAGTAGGACACATTCATTCTTTTCACTTCTAAGTTTGGTGTTAGCTATATCTTTCTAATAAAGACATACCTACTTTATTAGGCTGAGAAACTTTCCTTCTGGTCCTGGTTTGCTGAGTTTTTATTGTTAGTGGATTTTGTCATTGTTTTTTTTTAAACATCCGTTGAGATGATAATGGTTTTTGGGTTTTTGTTTTCTTTGGTTTGGTTTTTTGAGACAGGATCCTGTAGTGCGGACTGACCTTGAACCACAGTGTAGCCCAGGTTGATGTCAAACTCTTGGTGATCCTCCTGCCTCTGCCTCCTGAGTGCTGGGATTACAGGCTTGCGCCACCATGCTGGGCTTCATCAGTTGATTTTTGAATGTTAAACTTTGTAGTCTTTGGTTTAAAGCCCACTTGGTTTTGATGCTTTGTTATTGTTGAGTTTGATTTGATAAATTATTGTTGCTTTGGTTTTTGAGACAGGGTGTAGCTATATAATAGTGATATAGATCAAGCTGGCCTTGAACTCTTGGCAGTACTACTGCCTCAGTCTTCCAAGTGCTGGGATTAAAGGCACGTGCTACCATACCCAGCTTGATTTACTAACACGTTATTAAGAATTTGTGTGTGTGCTCATGAGGGATACTGATTTATAGTTTTGTTTTTTATTTTGAGAGTTTTCTGTTCTTGTTTTATCTTTCTTATACTACCTTTCATGTCATTTTCTGATTTTGGTATCAGGTTAAAACTGATCTTACAGTAAATCGGAAACTGTCCATTTCCTCTGTTTCCTACAAGAATATGATTAGGATTGAAATTATTTCTTAATATTTGGTGACATTTACCATGTGGGCCTAGAGATTTTCTTTGTGGGAAGTTTTAACCTACAAGTTAAATTTCCTTATTAAACTACAAATTTCAATTTCTAAGTAGTCCTGTACCTAAGAGAACATCTCTTTTTGAATGAGCTTTCTCAGCTGTGTTTCCAGGGATCTTACCTAAGGGTGTAGATATGCTGGTGAAGTTCAGTGCATTCCATTGTTACTCTTTTTTTTTTTTTTTTTTTTTCCTGAGACTTGGCCTCACTATATAGTGCAAGGTGGCCTTGAATTCTCATAATATAGCCCAGGGCGGCCTTGAACTTATAGGAGTCTTCTTACCTCAGCCTCCCAAATGTTGAGATTATGGGCCTGTGCCAGCACGCCCAGTTTACTACTCCTTTAATGACTGTAGAGGTAGTAGTTGTCCCCTCTCTTAATTGTTACTGGTAATGTATTGTTTTTCTTCTTTTTCCCTGAGTCTAAGTACGATGATGAACAGTTTTATTCATCAGAACCAGCTTTTGGTTTCATTGATTTTCCTTCCCTGTTGTGTTTCTGTTTTTAGATTATTGATTAGTTTCTGTCACTGATTAATTTCTGCCATCCCTTCTGTTTAGTTTGGACCTAATTTCACTTTCTTTTTCCTAAGTGGACAGTTGTTTTTTATTTTTCCATTTTTTTTTTTTAAGGTAGACACTCAAGTGGTTAATTTGAGACCTTTTTTCATAATATAACATCTAATTCTGTAATTTTCTCTAAATACTGCTATAGCTTAACACTATAATTCTTTTCTAGTGTGTAGCTACAGAGCAAAATTAGTAAATGGAGTTTCTCTGCTGGACGTCCTGGGGAAGGACTGGGGAGGAAGTGCGGGGTAGGACCCTGGTCGTGGCTGCGGTGGCAGTAGTGTCCAGCACCCAGCTGCCTGCAGTGCAGCAGCACTGTGACAGGCTTCCGTCTGCCACAGCCACGGTTTCATGGGCTTGTCTCCCTGCTTTGGGCAGTGGTAAATTAGACTTAAAAATTGATAAAATTTTCCTTTGTTGCCCTGATTGGCAGATAGTGTAAGCCAGGCATTCCTTTGTTTCGTTATTAGCAACATGTATATTTTTAACCTTTTTATTGTGGAAAAGTTTAAGCATATTGAAAAGTTTAAGAAATTTGAGGCTTTATCTGTTAAATAATTCCAATCAATTATAAGTGGCCAGCCTGCTTTTATTTGTATTCTACCATATCTGCATTCTTTTGAAAGAAATCTCAGAGTTCATTTTTTAATTCATTGATACTTTTAGGTGTGTCTTGGTGAACGCTTTTTTTTTTACTTACCCATTTATTTTAGTTTTTTTTGAGACAAGATCTCACTGGGTAGCCCATACTGGCCTTAAACTTGTGGCAGTCCTCCTGTCTCAGCCTCCTGAGTGCTGGAATTACAGTTTTGAGCCACCATACCTCAGCTCTTTTTATTTTTTAAAACCATCATAATACCATTTAGGATACCCTTAAAAATTAACAATAATTTCTTGTTATAATGAGGTAGCTACATATTTTTTATGTGGCATATGCATGAGCCAAGTTATAAATAATTTCCATCAAACAAGTTGTATTTGGGACTCATTTCATTCATTCAGTGATGTGAGAACTTCATCAAGGGGAGAACTTATTATTATAATGAAAACCCTTATTGTAATTAGGTTTGGGAGGATTTAGTTATTTTTGTACGTATGGCATTTTGTTTTGAATGTTAGAAATCAGTGCTAGCCGGGCACGGTGGCACACACCTATAATCCCAGCATTGGGAGGTTGAGACAGGAGGACGGCTGTGAGTTTGAGGTCACCCTCGGCTACATAATGAGTTCAAGGCCAGCCTGAACTATATAGTGAGACCCTGTCTAAAAAAACGAATGAATGAATGTGAAATCAGTGCTAGTTGATGAGTACAACAGTGAGCAAGATAGACATATTTTTGTTAGTCATGTAAAGAATAGTATTTGGGTTTAGATTTAAAAGTTTAATTGTCTTTTTCTGAGCAACTAAACTGTTTTCTTGGTTTTGTTCGTTTGATGTCCAAAATACCTATATTATATATGTTTGTAAAGCGCCCATTTCAATTTGACTTTGTAACACAAAAATCCTCGCCCTCAAAAGCTTAAATTTAGTAGAAAAGATACATTCAACAGAAAATAATGACACCAAGTTGACCACTGTATTTCTCTGCTGTATCTGATGTCATGCTTTCTGTTTGTGTGTCTTTCTTTCCACCTGTTTTATGACTCACAGGAGAGCCTGATAGATGCAAGTGAGGACAGCCAGCTAGAAGCAGCCATCAGGGCCTCCCTGCAGGAGACGCATTTCGACTCCACACAGACCAAGCAGGACAGCCGCTCAGATGAAGAGTCTGAATCTGAACTTTTTTCTGGCAGTGAGGAGTTCATCTCCATTTGTGGCTCCGATGAAGAAGAAGAGGTAGAGAATCTTGCCAAATCTAGGAAGTCTCCCCACAAAGATTTGGGGCATAGGAAGGAAGAGAACAGGAGGTCACTGACAGAGCCCTCCACCAGAACTGAGCCTGGGATAGCCACAAATCACCAGGGATTGCCAGCTTTGGACCCAGAGGTCTTGGAGATGTCACCTGAAAAGTCAGATGGAGCTGTGGAGGGCGCAGATGTAAATGGTGGGTTACATTACAGTTGTGCTTAAAACTCAAGTATCACTGACGACTTGCTGTGATTACTGATATAATCTCCTGTCTTAAATTCTGTCTTTCTTTCCTTAGGACCAAAAGCACAACTGATGTTGCGGTACCCAGATGGCAAAAGGGAACAGATCACTCTTCCGGAACAAGCTAAGCTGCTAGTAAGTAGATCTAATTGGAAGCATTTGATTGAAAGAGAGAAACTATTAATTGGAATAAGTCCAATGAGCATTCTCTGTGAAACAGGGTCTCGCTATGCAGTTCAGGCTGGCCTAGAACTCAGCGATCCTCCTGCCTCATCCTCCCAAGTACTAGGATTACTAGCATGTACCACCACATCTGGCTTTCCTTGATTCTTTAAATAGATATTAGATGTTCATTTTCATCTGTGCCTGGAAACTGAACTTTATTCACAGTAGTTCATTTCCTTCCCACATTGTCAAGGCAAGTCATACAGGGTCTGCTCCTGTTACAGCTTTTCTGTTCTGTGCTGTGAGGAGTACAAAGCCAGCTGAAGGGATTCCTTTTGGAAAGGGGGAATGGGGCTATTCGAAGATGACACAGTACTAGAATTCTCTGCTTCATACCATTTTCCTCTCTGCGTGTGGGTGGCTTCTGTTTATTCCTCAGCTTACATACAACATGGTCCATCATGGGGATATGAAGGGCCTCTAAATTCATCTAAGTTCCACAGCTGATGGGCCTGGCCTCTGTTTTCCACTGTTGGGAAAGAGAATGATTGTGTGACTAGCTTAGCTTAGCCTATTAATACACCCCTACCCCGCACGCACGCCGTGGGTCAGCAGTTCATACTTGGCTGTTCACTGTGGCTGCACATAAGTAAGCTGATTCTTAGAGATGGGGTGGCTGGAATGTAAGAAGAGTGTGGCCGCTGGTGCTGACACCCGACCTGACTCCAGTGATGAGACAACAGAATGAGCAAGTGTGGTGGGCCTCCTTATCCACAGTCCTGGTTACCTGGGGTCACCTGCAGTCTAAAAATATGCACTAAATGGCACATTCCAGAAATGAAGAGTTCATGTTTTAAATCTCATGCCAAGCTGGGCGTGGTGGCGCATGCCAAGCTGGGCGTGGTGGCGCACGCCTGTAATGTGAGCACTCAGGAGGCTGAGGCAGGAGGATTCTTGTGAGTTCAAGATCAGCCTGGGCTACAAAGTGAGCTCAAGGCCAGCCTGAACTGCATAGTGAGACCCTGTCTCAAAAAGACAAAAAAAACCCCAAAACAATAAATCTCCTTGCTGAGTACCATCGTGAACCTTCTCATTACCTCAGTGTCACACAGGAGATTAGTCTTAGCTTCGTGTGACATATCCACCCCACGGCACTGTCACTGTATCATAGTGCTTGTGTTCAGGTAACGTTTAGACTTTAAATGTTTTGCTATATTTGTGAAAGTATTTATACTTCCAGTTATGGGAGGGTCCTGGGAATCAAACTCATGACCTCACGCTTGCCAGGAAGGTGCTGTGCTGTGTCCCTAGCTCTACTTCCAATTTTTTGTAGTTATCATTTAGTGCCCCTAAGAGTAGTGATGGTGGTAATTTCATTACAGTTGTTGTCATTTGTTCTATTTTATTTTTAGTTATTGTTGCTATTCTTTTGCTGTCTCTCATTTCTAAAGTAAACCTTATAAGAGAGCTGTGTGTATTGGGATCAGTTCTACCTGTGCTTTCAGGTGTCGCCCGGGAGTACTCGGAGTTTGGCTTGAGGCTGGAGGGAAGAGTGGGCAGTAAGGCGAAGGAAAGGGAAGTCTGGTGCAAAGCATGTGGAGAGAGGGCGACACTAAGGAGATTGTGGAAGAGGCCATCCTGGAGTAGTGTGGTTTCTGAGGAAGTAAGGACAGGGAGGGAATCGGTGCACAAGCTGGGCCGGAGCGAGATGGAAGGGACGCAGCTCCGTGACAGAAGCAGGACAGCCGATGAAATGTGTAGCGATGAGGACAGTATTGTAGAAGTACTGATTGGGTTTACTGGGGAGACAGTGAGAACTCTATTTTAGTATCACATAGTGGCCCTAAATTATTGGATACAGATACATTGTCTTCCGGTCCGAAGGGTTACGTTGGCCTTTCCACAAGGTTGAACTTTCATTGTCTAAAAGAGTAACTTAGACTCTGAGTTTCATCTCATCTGATGAAGAGTGGTGTTCTATACTTAATTCATTAACATACTGTTTCCTTTATTTCCGCATAACAGCTCTTTTTCTTGTTTTCCGTAGGCTTTAGTGAAGCACGTCCAGTCAAAAGGATATCCAAATGAACGTTTTGAACTTCTCACCAACTTCCCTCGGAGGAAACTCTCCCATCTGGACTATGACATTACATTACAGGAGGCGGGCCTTTGTCCTCAAGAGACTGTCTTTGTACAGGAGAGAAATTAGCACCTTGGCCTGACCTCTCGGCTTTCCCCTTCCCCTTACTGGTGATACACCATATCACTAAGTATGCATTTTGGCTCATAGGACAAGAGCGCTAAAGTTGGGCAAGCAAGTCACCTGCCTTCTCTTTATTTCTTGTTCTCGTCTAGAATTAGTCTCCTCTCCCCTCCCTTCCCTCTCCTAACCTCCTATTTTTCCCATGTTCTTTATTTCTTACTAATCTGGTGACCAAATGGAAGTGTAAGGATAAGATCTCTCCTAGTATTAGCAGCAGGAAATGTGTGTTCTGATAAGTGATCTCTTGCACAGCATTTTTTCAGGGTCAGATGGTATTCTCAGACTCCTTCGACAAATAATGTGTAGATTCAGAATAAGAACAACCTCCCTTTTTAACGAGCCCCCATTTTTAGTAGGGAGAAGAATTTTGAACACATTTTTGTTGTTCTTCATGTAGGAAACACGAAGTAACAAAATACCCAAGCTTCTGTTTACATGGAAATAACATTGTTTATATTATTGCTCATCATATGTGAAAAAAAAAAAAGGTTTTTTACAAAAGATTCCCATCTTCTCAGCTACACTTTATTTCCATGCTGTGTGTTATTGGCAGAATGAGTATTCAGTGTACGGTGTGTAACATGGGGTGGCTTTCAGTGTCCTAGCCTGACATGACATCATGATTATGCTGTTAGTTCTATTGATCCTGCTAGTCATAGAGTGGACATAATTTAGTGAGCATATTGTGGTGTTGGATAGGAAGGTGCTTGCTGTTTTTGCCAGTAGAGCATATTTGTTCTTTGGCTCCTCCATTGTCTGGGCCCATGGTGAGCTGTAGAAGGCAGCTCTTCAGTAATCATGCAGTATAATGGCTTGTAACGTAACCACTGTGGTTATTGATTGTCCTATGTGCTCAAGGCATACTTACGTATGTCCCCGGGGGAAAGAAAAACATACAGCTGAGAGTTGCTAACCATGTTCCCTTGGTTAGAAATGATTCTTTTTTTAACCCCTGGTTGGAGTAGTTTCTAAAAGGCTCTGGTAACTGACCTTAATTCCTCATGCTATTTTCCCGAGAAGGTGTCAAAACTGAAAATCTCTTAAGGGGAAGACCTTTAAACTCAGTTCATAAGACAACTTTATTAAAGGGGGTATTGGAGGTTGCAGTAATCTTCACATGATGTGGCTTTTTTTGCCAAGAAAAGCCACATACAGATTGTAGCTGGTGAAAGCTTCTTTCAATGTTATTTTAAGAAACCACCTTGGGTCTGTATAATACTGTTGGCTTATGAGCTTCACTGTGTGCTCACTTCTTACTTGAGCTTTAAATAGAGTCCTCTGGTAGGGGAGTAGTGATCTGGAGGTGAGATCAGAAATTAACTTACACCACTTTTTGTCAGTTGGGGACTTTAGTTGATTCTTCCTTCCATGGGAGGAACATAAATTGCTGTTGCTCAGAGACCTTTAGGTTGCTATTGACTTGAAGACCGTTTTCTTGGCAACCAGGGGATTAAAAAAAAATGATGCTGTGTGTTGCTAGTCCACAATTATAGAACATGGTTTGTAATGGTTGGATTTTTAGGGACCCTCCCTGAAGAATGAGTTATGTATCTCCTTGAGGAAATCATGGAAAATTCTGTTATTCTTCAGTGAGTCCTTTTGAATTAATGTTCTTACATTTGTTTTCTAAGTCTGTGTAAGTGCTTATGTATAAGTATATAATTGTATAAATATTTATAAATATATTTATATAATTACAATTTCATTTATATCTTGAGTCAGAGTTCTCTCTGTAGATTGGTGACTGAGTAATACCACTTGGGTGTTTTTCATAGGCTCTTAAGGCTTAACTAGCAGCTTCTGATCTGTTGTATCTCTGAACTTGGATGATATACTTGCTGTTTGAGGGTAGAGCTGTCCACTGTCAAAAGTACGCTGGAGGTTACAAAAACCTGGTGGTGGTCCAGGCCAGATCTAAAACCCGAGGCCACGTGGGTAAGAAGTGATGGTCTGTGCGGCTGTGCTGTGAGGCACCTGTCTTCACTCCCAGCACGCTCGCAGCTGAAGCCCAGATTGGTCCAAACTGTGAAGTCCAGAATATTCGCTCTAGGACTCTGCTGCATCCTCTTCCTGCCAGCTTTTCTTTCTGAGCCGCACCTTGGCAGCCTGCAGCAGCATGTTCATAAAGGAGAGGACATAGCACTAGCGTGCCCATTTATGAGACACCAAAGTAACTTTCCAACTTGGGTTAGCATGAGATGACCCAAGTGTATGTGTGATTTAAGTAAGGGACAGAGTGATACATTCACCCGGCTTAGATGCAGTCGGCACGTTTAGAGGACAAGATGTACAGGATTTGATTGTGTGTTGAGGCAGGCGTGCAGTTATCGCGGGGTTGGTAGGCCCTTGCGGGGAGCTGTGGCTTTTACTCCAGAAGACCAGCTCTGGAGTGTTGCCTTGCTGAAGAACCTCATCTGCTTAGGGAGGGCGCTTACTCCCATTTGTATGCTTCCTCTGCGGGTTCCTTTGCTCTCTGGAGGAAAGGTCTGATCGAAGAATTAAATGAAGTCAGCAAGGTTCATAGTCATTCCCCCTCTAGGTTTTTAAAAGAGAGTTTCAAAGGTCAGGAGGGAAGGAACAAGGTAGGCTTTGAGAGTAACAGAAATACCATGGAGGGGGTGGAATGAAAACTAGTGAGGAAAAAGAGGAGTGCACTTGGGTTGGACTTAGGAAGAGCTCAGAGAAGAGAGCAGCACGCGGCGCCCAAGGGGGGAATGGGGAGCGCGCTGTGAGTACAGGCACGTGCTGTGCGCTCCGTACCCCCTAGAAATCTCCTGCAGACTCCCGCATATGGCTGGCCCTCCTTTAATAAGCCAGGAGGAAAACTGACGGTCAGAGAACGTGGTCAGGACGCCCAGCCAGTAAGCGGCGCGTCGTAGTTGGAAGGCAGAGCCCTGCCTCCCGCTCCCGGCTGTGCCTGTCCGCGCCCAGGGAGTCCATTTGCCCAAAGGTCCACTTTGTAAGTTCACATTTGATTTTGTTTCCTTAAAGCTAGGGGGAGTAGTTGAGGGAAAGCTTGTGGAGTTTGCACTGTGCCTATAGTCTTATTTATGCCATTGTTTTGAGAGGCTAATTATTAATTGCTTTTTTTAAATGATGCACTGATGAAAATGTGAAAATAACTATGCGACATTATTTGCCAAGACTAAATCTTAAGGATAAAAAAGAACTTTATCTCTTCTTAACTGTTTTTTAGAAAATATGTAATAATTCTTTCCTGTGTCCCATCCATGCTAGGTCTTTGAACCTTCCCTGTATGTTTTAAAATCTTCTATAAAATTTTACTTCTTGACTGTATAAGACAAAGTCACTTACTGAGTTCTGAATCAAAATTGGAAATATTTGAAGTCTTAAGAACTGATTCTTGACTGTTTTATCTAGCTAGGCAGATGGACTACATATGAGATGATTGAAAAACATGTAATGGTTTGCTTTTCTGGGCTTGAACTATAATTTCAATAGAAGTTTAGAAAAGGAAAGGAGTAGTGTAGGTTTTAGTTAGGAAAGTCTTCACGAAGAAATAAGGCTGAAAGGTGAGAAGCACTGTGGCGCAAATATTTTTTGATTCATCTCATGCTTTAGCTCCATCTGTTGTAATTACTGGCTTAAAGCATGAAGTTTTATCAGTAAGGTGGACAACCAGTACCCAAGTAGGAAAGGATTGTTGTTTCAATCCCTACCGCTAAAGATCCTTAGCAAGCAGGGATGTCGACGCTGAGAGGAATCCTGGGGGGAGCCACTAGGAACTGGGAAATGAAGGAAGGGTTTAGCTTACCTGCCTGGGTACAAATGAAGTGTCTGGTGTGGATGATGTGCAGGAAGGGACTGTAGTAGGGCAAGCGCTGCTACTAAGGAGCTGTTACTTTGTCGCGTCTCTTCCTACCTCCGAGCCTTGGTTCCCCATCCCATACTGAGAACAGTAGATTAGATGGATAGTTAATAGTCTTCGCAAGTAGAAGGACTTACACTTCTAAGTTTGCCACGGGTGGGGAACTGTGGGGCTGACTGTTAAATGTAATCAATTCCATATAGAACATGTAAATGTGCACCTGGAGTTTCGGAGCCCTGGCAGACACTTAAGGACTCCACACACACTGTAGACCGCTGATTACATGATCTCTGAAGTCCTTTTCCATTCCACGTTTTGGTGTCTAGTCTATCCCCTTTATTATATATTACCCTTAGGCTAATTAAAAACGTTCTTGTTAATCAGTTCCTTTGCCTTTTTTTTTCTGTGTACAGATAGCATTTGCCCAGGAACCTGATCTAACCTCATTGTAATGACTAAATCCCCCCAAAAGGCGGGAGTTATAGGAGTAATCTAGTAATGACCTTTCAACAGTTCTTACTGTTCGTGAGTTGTTAGCATTGTATGCCTGCCTGATCAGTGTTGAGTATGACTAAGGCATAATTAATGCATACCAAATATGCTGGTGACACTGGAGTTGAATTTTATCTTGTATGCTTTAAAATAACTATTCTCCTGGCTCAACAGTCACTGGGGAAATGAGCTGTTAGAATTTACACTTGGTTTGGGCAGAAACAACTTTCCGGCCAACTTTTCAAGGTCTCGTTAAGCTGACTCTGTAAAATGGTTTGTGTCCTGCCCACTCTTCGACCATCTTTCCTGTAACTCGGTAGTAAATTATGGGGCCCAGGTTGATGAAGAACAATGTCTTGTGTGAAACCGTAAGTGAAGAAGCCCATCTGATGAACAGCACTTTCCCAATAATACAAGCCTCCGCAATAGGCTACTTAAGGCAGCTGTGGGCTATAAATACTCAACTCCATTGGGTTACTTTGCTTAGTATTTCAGTTGTTGTCTTGCCGTGAAACTTAGTAGTATCGCACAGTACACACTTTAGAAGGTGGCAAGAACATTCGTTAGAAATGAAATAACAGCCAGGCATGGTGGCACACGCCTGTAATCTCAGCACTTGGGAGACTGAGGCAGGAGGATCACTGAATCCAAGACCATCCTGGACTATGTAGTACAAGGCATCCTGAACTAGAAACCCTGTCTCAAAAAAGAGAAATAAAAATAGCCAATAGAGAATAATATCATTCCAATACTGTATGTTGATTTTTCCTGTTAGTTTGGCTTTTCAGTAATGATTGTCTTGGATTTTGACTCACTTATGTGTCAGTCCTGCTAGGGAGATGGTTTTGTTTTTTTTTTTGTTTTGTTTTGTCTTTTTGAGACAGGGTCTCGCTGTGCAGTTCAGGCTGGCCTTGAGCTCTCACTTTGTAGCCCAGGCTGGTCTCAAACTCCCAGCAATCCTCCTGCCTTAGCCTCCCCAGTGCTGGGATTATAGGCGTGCACCACCATGCCCAGCTAGAGAGATGGTTTTGAATGAAGATTTTTGTTTCCTGTTTTTTAGGTAGGGTCTCACCATATACCCCAGGCCTGCCTTGAACATGTGTCGATCCTTCTCTCTCAGCTTCCCATATGCTGGGATTACCGGCATGTATCACCATGCCTGGCAATGGAATCAAGAGTTTTTAAAAGTAATGGCCTTGGTTTCCCCATGAAGTGAACTCACATGATTAGATTATTGGATGTGATGAAAATCTTACTTAGAAATATCTTTTAATCTTAGTTTCTTTTTTTACTTCTCTATTCTTGACTTTTAATGTCCTTTCTCCAACAAATAGTTACTATTCTTAATATAACTAGCTATATTTAAGTAATTCTGTTTTGTTTTGTTTTTTAGTAATTCTGTTTGAGTTTTAATATTTCTCCTTTTTATAAATTAATATACAAGGGAAGAATTTGACACAGCTATTTTATGGCTCATTTTCTGTTGTTTTTGTTTTTCGGTACTAGGAATCGAACTCAGGACCTCAGCTTGCCGGGCAAGCACTGCATCACTGAGCTATAACCCCAGCCCCCTCTTTTTGTTTTTTTGAGACAGGGTCTTGCTGTGTAGTTCAGGCTGGCCTGAGTTTACTGTGTAATCTAGGGTGGCCTCAAACTCACAGCAGTCCTCCTGTCTCAGCCTCCTGAGTTCTGGGATTACAGGTTGCCCCACCATACCAGTTCATGGCTTTTTTCTGAAGAGAATTTTCTTACACCAGATAGATAGTGGCTAGCTCTGTGACCCCTGTCCTTCCCTCTTTGGCCTACAGATGGCTGTTGTATTGCTTAGAATCTCAGTCATGGTCATAAACTTAATGATTTGGGCCATTTAAAAAAAAATGTGGCCTTTCTTTGCCATATGATCCCAAACTAAATTTGGATAACCCAATATAAACTACTTATTAAAACAATTTAGTGTTTCTGTAATGAGGTAGCTTAGAAAAATAACCAAATGTATTTGTACAGTTAGAAGTGTACATGGCAGTGTTTTGCCTAAAGAACAATCGTATACTAATCTTATAGGAAATTACTTTGCTGTGCTTAATTCTGTGGCAACAAGCAGCAAGTTTTTGTTTGCTTAATGGTAGTATTTCCTCTGTAAAGATCAAAATGCCCTAAGATTTTACATGGCTTGTAAGTCATGAAAGTTTTCAAGCGGCAAAAGCCAAGCTAATATGGACTGAATTTAAGTGACAGTTTGTCTTCATCACAAAAAAAGTTATTCACTGGCTGGGCCACCAAAAGTCTTTCATTATTAGGAAATGGGAAACAGTTCAAGTCATCAGAAGAGTTCCGACCCGGAATGGAGTCTCCCTTTCTTAACATCTTGGTTACTTGGCTTCGTCATGGCCTCGGTGTGGTCATCTTAACTGTGGCCCGAGACCACGCCCTGCTCTGCTGCTTTCCTCTCCGTTGGGGTGACTGACTGGTGAGTTTGAGAGGTTGATACTTAGTTGGACACCTTGGTGTTTTCATTAAAATGATTTTATAGTATGCTTTTTTCAAAGATGCTTTGTTCTTAATAATAGAAAAAAAAAATCTGATGATGTGATTCAGAATACAGAAAGGTTTATGACACTGAGGATATGCTCTTAATAACTTTCTGGTAACTTGTTGCCTATAAGTTAAGCCTCAATAAAGTGACTATTGCCACTGGAAAAATCCCCTCAACCTGCTAACTAGAGTGGCAGTAAGTGTGTGACCTCCACCTTTCAGTCCATGAACAGGAGAGCGTGGTGGAGGCTCTCTTACTGTGAAGTTCCTAGGCTCCCCCTTTGGTTCACTTAACCCCTGGGGGCCCGTGAAGCTAGGGAGATGCCTTCGCTCCAGAGTCAAGAGGGTCAAGAGGGTGAGCACCAGTCACGCCAGCACGGCGGTGACCGAGGTTCCCACCGGGCTGTGGCAGGAAGCAGTGGGACACGAGATTTTCACTCCTCTAGGATTTTTTCTCCCCCAGAATGGCTTTTCTCTTGATAACAAATTCTAAGCATTTAGTGTCTTTTTTTTTTTTTCTTGACCCTTAAGAAAGTCCTTTTTATAATAGCTGTTGATCGTTCCATGGAAATTTTTCATGTGTGTGGTGGGCTTTGTGCATGCTTTGTGTGAGTTCAGTTTAAACGGTGTGTTTCGAGTCACCTGAGACGCCCAGTGCTGGCATGTCTTCACTAACTAATTTTAAACATTTTGTGTCATTCTCCAAACCTCACTTCCCATCTTAATTGGAGAGGTTGATCAAGGAATGAAACTTGTTTGGGGATAGGGAGAGAGGGTGGGTTGGGAACTTGAGTGATGTCTGCTTGGGGTATTTGCTTTAGAAGTGTTTTTCAAGCAGTTCCTAACAGTGTTTAGCGATTCCCTGGGATGTCTGTGTACTTGGCTTATTCCGGACAGTGGTGGTCTTACTGAGATGTGCATTTTTAATGCAGGACAGGCTCTGAATTGACTCTGTGGTAAAATCCAAGAAGATAACGGACAGAGACAGTGCTCCTATTGTAGTGCTTCTGGCAAGTGCCCCCTGAAACGCAGAGTTCGTGAGTGTCTGGGCCTTTAACCCATGGTGCTAGGAGATACCGTCGTTCTGTAGCACTTCCCAGAAGTGGAAGAAGGCTTTGGGATCAGCCAGCAGGAGGCAGCCGGACCACCCGCTAAATTCTTTCGTTAAAGACACACTAGAGACCCTCCTGTATATCCAGCAAATGATACGAAAGGTGCTAGGGAAAGCCTTCCGTGCGAAGATACACGGAGGTGGTGCAAAGCCTGAACTTACAAAAGAAAAGCATGCCGTTAGGTAAAGCAGAGCTGAAACTGCTGGATAAGACTCAACGGAACTTCCGCTTGCTCTAAAACCAGGGAAATCTTAGCTAACCGGGTGTGATCGATCTATAGATACACGTAGTCTATAGGTAAATATTTCCTGAAGTGAGGATCTTTCTCTCGGTTGGTGATCCTCTGGTTCGGGCTGTACCAAATTGTGAATATTCTTGCTGTGTTGTACCCAGTTGCTTTATATTAATACTGCAACTTGAATTGGGGAGGGCGGG